ATTTGAGCCAAATGTGATGTTGCAAATATGCTTCTCAAATGTAGGTTATAAAGAAATTGACAAATGGCAACAAGAACAAGAGAGACTGCTTCTGGAAAGGAGAAAAGGGGAACTTCCCCTTCATACCCCAAAAAAACTCCCAACTCTAAACCAAGCTCTCCTGAAAAATCTGCATCAGATAAACATGTACCAAATTATCTCAAGCCTACAATAAGTTCAGGTCTTGATGCTTCTAAACAGCTTGGTAAGAAACCGTCTTCGATTGACAATGCCAACAAGCCTAATCTTGCAAGAAGGAGATCCTTCGACAAGCCTCCGTCCCTTTCTGGTACTCAAAAAACACGCTTTCCATCTAGTCCTGCTATTCGATCTTCCTCGTCTTCGAGTAAACCGATGACAACTACGCATAAATCTATTCCAGATAAGTTGTTGAAGACACCGACAAAGGTTGCCGGTAAACACTTTTTTATTGCGAGACCTTTAAGTACTACCAAGAAGGGAAGCCCCGGCAATAAGAAACAAGACACTGCAAGGAGTGGTTCAATAACAATAGAACAAGTCACTAGCCCTGATAAATCTGATGCATTACAAGTTGAAATAGGACAAGATGAACAAGAATCTTCAGTTACTGATGCTGAATATGAAGAGACGGTGCATGAAATGGGACCTGAAAATTTAGTAGTGGAAGATGAGGTGCCGATAATTATTACAAGGCAGGCTGAACCCGAGAACATCCCGGACGAGGATGTTGTGACTATTGAATCGTATACGGTTTCAGAACAGCCAGAAGTCTCCCTTGAAGTCGAGACAAAAGAATTACCAGAAGACGAACCAAAGATTGAATTAGAAGAACACGTTGTGAATGTAAACAATCACACACAAACTGATGAAATTCTTGAAGATAATTCAAAAGCAGCAGTCGAAGAGAAGGAAGTAGCAATAGCATCGGATGGAAGGGAAACTACTGATTCTGAGGAACAAGAAATGAAAGAAGTTGAGGAAGTTAAGCCCGAGGCTGAAATTGAGGAGTCGAAACAAGAAGACTGCGAAAAGAAGAAGGAATCCCTAGTTTCGAATGATGTAATTGAGGAGACTGCAAGCAAGCTGCGAGAGCAGAGGAAGAACAAGGTTAAAGCACTTGCCGGGGCCTTTGAAACTGTCATATCCTTACAGGAGCCCAAGTGAAAACACGTCTATGGTTGTATTGAACAGAACTGATAACGGATAAAAATTAAACTTATTTTAATCATTTCAGTACTGTCCAGTCGAGCCTACCTAACATTGCACCATTGGATTTCATATTTCTATTTTTATGGTTCTGTATAAAGGATTTTAGTTATACATCACGGACCTCACATGTGCACAATGAAATTAAATTTTGCTTTAAACTTGAATTAATGCTAAAATTTGAAGTGGTATCATGAACGTTTAAGAGCAGCTTGCTCCTTTTTAAAGATAACTAACTCTCTAATGAGACAATAAATTAGGAACCAACTGTTCAATTTTCCTTGAGGATTATTCATATTATCATTTAATATTTTCTCATTAAAGCCTGTTTTCAAATAGTCAGCAGCTTGATCAAATCAAGTCATTTTAGTTTCAGTATCTCCTCTCGAGTTGAACATTAAGTGGAGTTATTCAACTCGATGACATTTGAGACTGAGACTGCTCAAACCATACTAAAATATGGGACAATACTTGCATCCTTACGATGAGAGCACAAACCCGCAGTCTGGTTTGGACGGTTTTTTACATATTTTCGGAACAAACTGAGTTTATACTCTTCTATGAAACAAGTGTACGTGGTCAGAGCAATCATTTGAAGATTGTTTTTAGGCATATCATATATGTCAATGAAGTCTCCTCTGGAGGAACCAAACGTGCCACCAAAATTTAATTATAAAATAGTGAATTGGCCCCTGAACCTTTCTTTTATCACTTACAGAGTTTAAGCTTTTTGAAATATGATGACACGAAGGATTTAGGATAAGGTTTCGTGGCAAGACATGTGGGAACGTTCTCGGGTTGTTCAATCCACAGCTTATGAGCGATGCCGGCAGCTTTTAGCTTCTCTGATAAGTTCAATATCTGGGCTTCACCTTTAACTTCAAGAGTAACCTGCTCAACCAGGGAGAAAGTTGTCATTAGCACACTGATACACTCTCCATCTCCCATATACTATTTGATCAAATCAGATAACAGAAGTATTAGGGAAAAAGATTAGAAAAACAGAATACACAGTTTCCACATAATTCAATGAATTCAAAACAGCAGAATGGATGTAATCACACACACAAAAAAAGGCTTGTGATGTATCGGACAGGTCGTTGCATCCCAGAAGTACTCGCATGGGATGCTTGACTTCTAGGAGGGTATGGGGTGTACGATAAACATATTGAGTTGATCCTAGATTCAGAAATTTGAGGCATGCTCCCTGTCAAAGCTAATTACATGAGTACACAGGATAAAACATGACTATAGATTGAGTAGAAATGATAAGAAAAAGGTTGTTCCATCAAAAAGATGCCACGTATAGTTACCCAACTTATCTCTCCTTATTTATTTTTTTATATTTTTCCTTGGCTTGATTGCACACGTCCACTAATAATGTCATATAACCAAACCCAAACCTGGATACTTAATAAGCAAAGCCCAAAAGGCTACCAACTAATGGCCAGAGCTTCCTTCTCATGCACATGCAAACACAATGTCACGTCCATCCATCCATTCATCCATCCAAACTAGTGTACAAATTCTATTTTCACAATGTAAACATCTTTTTTTCATTAAATTGATATAGAGATTCTATTATTTTCAAAGGCAAGGCATGGATTAATAATTGATTTCAACGTAATACTTGGCCAAACATTCAAATCATATTAAATCAAATTCCGCTGTCATTTTGTATCACAAATATGGCTTCATTTGCCCAAAGCATAAAGGGCAGACTGTAACGTTTACTCTATACATGACACGTGGTTAATCTGTCACATGCAGGGCAATGGTGTGACATGTGGCTTTGCCACTTGTCAGTTGCCAAATACAAAATGTACAAGGCTCATCCACCGCTTACATAGGATAAATGCAAGACAGCTTATCCACTGATTACACAGTATAAATGTAAGACAGACGGCTATCAGGCCTTGTCCATGCATAGAATGTAGACAGCTATAATGCCATCTCAATGTGCATAACAGATGTGTAGCAGATGGCTATTAAGCCGCCTGTCATGTAAAGTAAACAGATATATACCAACTACACATTATTAACCGTCTGTAGTTACATAATGCAAGACAACGTATGTGTAAAATAATGCTTCAGCCATGGTAAACAATTTCACCACAACCGCACCTCCTTCACCGTTTTGGTTCCATAAGTTACCATCCCAAACCTTGGTATGCTTTCTCTCAATTTAACCTCCAAACATCATTATTCTTGACAGTCCAAAAATAATATCATCACGTTGCTCTCGCAAAGAACTTATTTCCAATGTTCCATCATCCACCACCCCAGTGAAAACAACTTGCTTGAAGCATCTAACAAGTAAAACACCACTATCCCTCCTTTGTTTTTGCTATTTTGCAGATGCAATAGATATGTCAGATTATACACCATCAGTTTCTGGCATTAATTGTGCAATGTAGCATATGATTTTATACCAGATTTTATGAAAACATTGTTAAGTCAACAAAAATAAAAGAAATCTTCCATAGGCTTCATGTAACATGAGCTAAGTCCTAAATTGTAATGTTGATACAGAACGAAGATCTAACATTATCAGAATAGCAGTTACCACTTAGAAAGAGATGATGTGCCCATCTTTATTTTATTTTTTGCCTGTCCAATTACTTCACACATGTTTGCAAAGATATGCTTGGGGTTTTGAGGTCATAGTCATTGGAAATCTTTGGGGGTGGGGGCTCAGTGAAGTAGGATTAAGTAGCATTAAAGGGTGGGTTTTTATTCTCATAGTACAAGTTTATAAGAAGTACTTTAGATGTTTCAAGAAAAATCCTAATAGAATCGACTAAAGGGTTTCACGATTAGTCAAAGATTTTAGTGTCTACCTTAATGATCAAATGTGGGTGCTCCAACAAATAACTCCCCACCTCCATCCCCAACCAAAGAAAGAAAGAAGGATAAAACATGGATGTGAAGAGTGCCTTTGCTAGTGAACCACATGCACAATCCATCAGGGACCTATTGTCGTTAACTATCTGATCCCACTGTATAAACCATAAGAACTTATAGGCAGACAACATAGCTAAGTTCTTGGGCAAAAATCTCACTAGGACATGTGTGCATATGTGCATGGATTTACAATTACACACGTCCCCCAGTCAACAGAAAACAAACTAAAACTAAATTTAAAAACAATCGATACAGATGTGCACAGCCTTCACTAAGATTAAGACCACATTTAATATGAACAATTTGTTCACTCAGTCAATCAGAGATTTGATTTAATCACTTACAAAATATTGTTACATATTTTAAATTTGGAATTTGGACGGTAACAGCTAATTACCAAATTAATACTAATAAGGTTCATAATAAAAACAGATTTCAATCAAAGAGTGCCAGTTATTCAATCCCAACCTAATAGGGTTAGGTATATGTGCAATGGAGATTTGTCAATTTCATACAAATCCATGTCAACCACCTCTGTCTTCATCTGTCGACTATTTTACTTTACTATTTCAGTTTTAAGATTTCTACCTAGTAAAACTTAGAGTGAACTTTCCACCGTACAAGTATTTTCCTTTATTTTTCTGAAAATTTAATCAAAGACTGTGGAATCACAGAAGTTAAATCAACTCATCCAAATAGAAGTGCCAAAATCTAAAGTAGAAATTAAAAACGGATAAATTGAGTTAAAATAGTTTACTAACCTTATGCATAGAATCCAGATTGGAGGGGGAACAGTAGAGGAGAGTATGAGCGTCATCCTTGTTGGACCATATGGCGGCGACAGAGGCATGGCATCCCTGCGTCACCACGCTCCCCAGGGGCCATGAGTCGATTAGGTCCCGTCGCAGCACCACGTATTGTACTACCGTGTCTGCGACGGAGCTCTCCGAATCCTGGTGATCGGTGGCGGAGTCCGCGGCGGCATTGGCGGCTACGGATGAGGACTCCATTCGCGCTGCCGTGCGTAGAATTTTGGAGCTACCGGGTGTGTGTTTAGCCGTCTTGGGCCAAAAATGAAATGTCGGGTAAGGGCACCTGGGTGCGAAGATGGAAGCCATTTTTGTTATTAGGGCCTTTGGAGAAAATATGCAAAAGAAAAGGACCAATTTATGAACAATTTTATCTCCTTGAAGATTAAAGTTTTTCTTTTTTTGAAAAAAAACATTAAAGATTAAAAGTTAGGGCAGAAGGGATGACAACGAGTAAATCGAAACAATAATTATCATTTTCAATGCATCGAGAATTTTTGAGAGTCGGGGCAAGAGCGGGATTAAAAATTCCTTATTTACCTTTCCATTTAATTAATTACTTGGTAATGTAGGGCGGAAATTTTCATCATTGACCATCACACAACTATATAACCAACTATAGCTCGACTCGATTGACCCAAACTATTTATCATAATCCTATCCATTTCTAACACAAAAAATATTGTTTTTCTTTTGTGCACTTTTTTTTTAATTTTTGGTTACTTTTTGTACACTATTTTTTGTAACACACGTGTGTTATACATTCAATGTATAACACATTTTGAGCTCATCACCACCATTGTCTATACATGTAAGACTTGTAGGAAATTGTTTTACGATGACGCTACCACCATCAACACTTTACATAGTGTAATACTTATTAACAAATTGTGTTACACTGCTTCCATCGTGTTGTTGCATAAAGAGCAACAATTGTAATAAATTATGTTACATCCAATATCTTGAAAATCAACCCGAGCATTGACCTGAAATAAGTAAAGGGTCAAGTGCCAAAATATTCAACCGAGATTGACTGGGGTTGAACCAAATACAATAAATAAATAAACACACAAACAAAAAATATTATAAAACAATAAATTTATATTTATAATTTTCATATTACTAATAAAAAAAAGAAAATCTATGTTTATTAATTAGCTCAGGCCCAAAATCAAACTAGTCAATTAAACGTACATTTGGAAAATGATTTTTATGTTCAATTTTATATCTTTTTGCTATCTCACCATCTCAATACCATTTGAGAGAAGTACATCTATAAAAGTAGCATGTCATCCATGGTTTCCTTATTGGCCTTTGATTGTAATGAATTAGCCCATTGATGAAGTTAAAAAAAATTAAATGAAAATTGATCAAAATGGTAAAATTGACACTGGTTCACCAGTTTACTATTAAATTGGCTGGTTCAATGGGTTTTAAACAATTTTTGTTGTAGTCGGCTAATCGAACTTGATTGGCCCAATTTTGGACCTGGTTTCCAATTTCCCCGATTGAACTTGTCGGGTTGGACCAATTCTAATGATATTGGTTACATCACAATTGCCACTACTATCACCATCATTGCATTATTACACAAAGTGTAATACTTGTAATAAATTATGTTATGTCATTTCGTTATCGAGACACCATCACGAGCCAATCTAATATGACGTTGTCACTACTATCACCAATGAAAAGGCCACATCTCCGATCAAACTCCACCATGTCCACAATTTACGGTCGCATTTCCATCTCCACCATCCAACATTTCATCCCCAAAAGAACCATCACCTTCAATAGCTAGAACTACACTACTCATCACTATATTCAATAGCCACACCACCGAAGTGACAATTTAAGAACACAAACCACCACAATAACCAATCTCAAACATCAACAAAGAAAAAAAAAACGATTTTAGGGCTTGGGGTTGATATATGAAAGGTGGGCCGCAATGGTTGTGGTGGTTGGCAACAACGATGATGAATGGGGGTAGCAGTGGTGGCAACGGAGGTGATGTTGGTGGGTATTTTTTTTTTTTAGGGTTTAGGATGATAATATGATGTGTAGTGCTTTTTAGGGTTAAGTAATTGAAAAAAAAAAAAAATAGTTTGAGAACAAAAAAAAAGTAGGGACAATAAATTAGAAATTTGAGTTTTGAAAGTAGACATAATTTCTCTTTCCAACGTATGTTGTGCTTAACCCGCCGCCACTACGTACAATCATAAAATATTTAAGGTATCGTTACTGATTTATAATTCGATGCATGCTTTACATGATTAAAGTTTGCAAACTCGACTATTTAGGCTAATTTAATACTTACCAAACTAGGGCACAAAGTTTACTTATAACGATCATTATGCGATATAATTAGAAACCTACGAGATTTTAGATATGGCAACCGCAAAATATCATTGCTAGTTCAATCTCGACATTGAACACCTACCAATTAAAGTAATATAAAAAGGGTATCAAAGCATAAACTATCATAATTATATTAAACCAAATCTCCATATAACTTAGATTGGTTTCTATCATAAAATAGAGTTCGAGTCATGAACTAAGTTCAAGAACAAGAAATACACCATTTATGAAAAAAATTAGTCGTCAGATAATTTTAGAGGGTGTTTTCAGTGGATTGTGATAGAAATTTTTGAAATGTGTGGTTGAAAAGATGTAGGACATAGCCCATTTTGGTGTAGATAAAAATAAGATTTTTAGTAGATTTTGATAAAAATTGATGAAATATGTGATTAAAAAGTTATGAATCCCATGAAATGTATTGTTAAAATTAATTGTTGACTTTAACTTGAAATGTTTTGGTAAATTTTAATCAACACCAAATAAGGGCTTAATATTGCTTGTTATTTGAGTTATAAACATGATTTGTCTCTTGATATGATCATGAGTCCAAAAACTATCCTAAAATTAGTCAGATAATAAGATATCAATTACAATAAATAACCAATAATCAACGATCACAAGAACTGAACAATATAGTGAAGTAAAGAGTCAACATATTTTCATCATAATCGTAGCAACAAAAAGTCTAATATCCCATAATTTGATCGCAAAACACAAGATGGAAGATGAATACATAACAGAGATAATTTAGAAGAGAAGTTATGTACAACTCTTAGTCTTAAATCTCTTCAATGATTATACATAACACCTTCTTCCGCTTCAAATTCATCCAACTCTTAAAGAATTCCTTGTATTTTTGCTTCCAATAATTGTTGTATCTTCATTTATGATGTGTTGAGGTGTTATGAGGTGTAGAGAACATATGATGATGGTTTCCTAATTTCGCCTATTTGGTATAATAAATCAGATTTTTAGTAAAATTTAATGAAATATATGGTTGAAAAGTTGTGGGTTCAATGAAATATATAGTTAAATTTATGCTCTAATTTCCCAACATGCTTAGATCATCACTTTTAGGTCCATCCATTTTGGTCCTCCAATGTTCAAACATGTTCAAATTGGCCCTTCATATTTTATTTTCTTCAAATTTGGTCCTCATGTTCCATGAATGTGTAAGGTGGTCCAAAGTTATAATTTCAGCCACTTATGGTCCCCCAAACTCTTCTAGAGCTTTCGATTAACTCGTCGAACCTCTCGGCAATAATGCACTTCCATCCTTTTGTCCAATTATATTTAAGTCTAAAATTTACCTTTATGCTTATTTCAACTCGAAGTCAGGATTTTCACTTATAAAATTTACCTTTATGCTTAATTCACCTCCAAGTCTAAAATTTGATCGCAAAACACAAAATGGAAGATGAATACATAACAGAGATAATTTAGAAGAAAAGTTATGCACAACTCTTAGTCTTGAATCTCTTCAATGATTATATATAACACCTTCTTCCGCTTCAAATTCATCCAACTCTTAAAGAATTCTTTGTATTTTTGCTTCCAAGAAGTGATGTATCTTCAGTTATGATGTGTTGAGGTGTAGAGAATATATGATGATGGTTTCCTAATTTATAGTCACAAAAAGTCTCCAAACCGTGCTACAAACAACCAAAAACCATAAAATAAGTTTTCAAATCGCACAAGGTGAGAAGTAGGGGTTGTGCCCGGGCGCCAATGCCAAACTCTAAAACTAAGGGTACCGTAAAACTCACCCAAGGTCCACGTGCTGCCCGGGCGCAAGTCCAATATACTATGACAACTTGATTTCAAACGTGCATAACTTTTGATCCAACTCTCAATTGTGAACCTTCTTTATGCTCTGATTTCCTCACATGCACTGCACATAGGCTCCTAGTGTAATTTCGCTTCCTCGGTCCTTCAGTATTTGATCCTTACTTTCAGATTAGGTCCATCAAATTTGGTCCTCCAACTTTCAAACAAGTTCAAATTGCCCCTTCATATTTTCTTTTCTTCAACTTTGGTCCTTCATATTCCATGCATGTGCAAGGTGGTCCACAAACTTATAATTTCGTCCACTTTTGATCCCCCAAACTCTTCCAAAGCTTTCAATTAACTCGTCGAACTTCCTGGCAATAATGCACTTCCATCCTTTTGTCCAATTTAAGTCTAAAATTTTCTTTTATTCTTAATTCATCTCCAAGTCGAGATTTTAACGCATAAAAGCAACAAACCTTAGTCATAATTTAATGCATGTTGTACATGATTAAAATTTATTTCTAACCATGCAAATTAACCCGAACATTTAGTGCTAATTTAATACTTATGAAATAAGTTGTTCAAATTGTTAACAGATATAAATAAGCGTTGAATAATAAATAAGTGGATAATAGTTGTAGTACTTAGTTAGAATTAAATTATAATTAAGAAGATTATGTAAAACAAACAAGCACAATATAAAGAAAAGAGTTCAAGTCATGAACCAAGTCCACAATACGTGACTTCTTTGAGTCAGTTGGATTCTAGTAACAATTTTAAAGTAGACCTAATTTTCTCTCTCTTCGCTAAGCTATTCTTGACTTTTTGTATCATTCACTCGACCAAAGTCCACAATAAGCTCACATAAAGACAAATTAATAGAACACTTTCGAAGCGAAAAATGGCTTTCGGTGGAATAATCAATAATATAAAGAAAGTAGGGCTGTTCGTAGGTCGGTTCGGTTCTGTTTTGAAGAGATCCCCGAATCTATCCAAAATTTTCGGGTATTTAATAAATTGAACCATCGGGTCCAAATATAATTATGGAACCGTTCGGGTTCGGTTCGGGT